ATATTTCTGATTCCGATTTACGCGTACGATTGTATCGTAAAACTCGATCAGCGTAAATATTTTTGTCCGGCACTGTACCTAGATCTCGCGTACCGTCTAAAGTACCGTGTAGAGATACGTCGTCGATACGAAACTTTTTCTAGGAACCATTTTAGGAGTTACACGAGCCGTCGAAATGACGGACGTTCGAACGTCTTTTTTTTTTCTTCCTCGACAAGGAAAAAAAGACGTAAGAACGTACGACCCCGGGAGCATAGAAGCACACGTCATTGCGCGCATGAATGCCCGCCCTTTGGGGATCAATGAGAAGCGCATAGATCGAAAAAACCTTGTAACTATGTCGGCGATAAATCGAAAAGACACGTGTAATCCCGGTTCGTAGACGAACTCGCGAATCCACGAATCTCGCGTCTGGTTCCTGGGCTGGGCGTGAACGCGGTAATTGTTCAGATTCGCTTTCAAGAAAACCAGCCAAGCCCGTGACGAAGTCGGCCCTCTTGCGAGGCAAACAAGAAAACGTCGAGGCAGGCGGTACGCGCGAGCAAATTGATATTACGACGAAATGTTAACGATGGATCCGGGCACTCTGTCGTTCCGCGATCAACGGTTGCAAAATGTATCGAGGAATCGGTGGAACGATACTAGATCGGCCGACGAACGTTCAACGCCGGCCGGCATCCATTCCAAATTTAAATTCGCCGCAGACCCGTTCATGGTGGACGTGATTAACGTACCTTACAGAACGCTCTCTCGCTGGCACTGTTTGTCCTTCGTTCGTAAATGAAGTTCGACGAAGTGTTCCTGTCAGCGAACTGACCGTGAAGAACTGTTCGATGCTTGTTAGCGACACAATATACGATATTCGGCTCTTAACAACGAAATACGAAAACACTTCGAGAAAGATCAAAGAAGACGCACATTCGTGATCGTCCAGGGCTCGAGTCCAACTGCCGGAACCCCCTTCCAGGCAACGCACGCGGCACGACGAACGATTGGCTGACGCCCGCCGAGACAACCGCCAATCGAAACAAGCCGCGGTCCCGCCGGCCAATCGCGCCTAGTAACGACCGTTCGAGGTACTTCTGCCAACTGGCGGCAAATTTAACGAGGACTATCCCAATAGTTTCGCCGAAACGCTAGCAAGTTTGGTAATTCGTGGTCGAATTTTGTCAAATTCGGGACTAGGGACAAGCGAAATCGAACATTGCTCGATAAAGAAAGAGAATGGGTATAATGGGAGGAAACGAGAAAAATGATCGATGTTTTAAATAGTTTTTACATTTAAGGAACGAAGTAGACTGAATTAATGATCGTTCTTCTTTGTGTCTTTAAAGTTTGAAGTTTTCAAAGCCTCTTGACCTCTTGTATCAACTTTCAAGTATTTGAAATTATCAGTATCGATGATTAGTTTCAACTATGCTCCCATGAAGTATACAAGAACGATTACAACCGACTGTAGTCCTTAAAATTGTGAAATCTATACAATCGTCCTGACTTCGAAATTATATCTTAACAAATGATCGGTAACGACCTTGGAGCGACATGCTCAGATAAATTTAGATAGCAGGAAAAAGAAGGCGTGGTGCAGTGAATAACTGTGTGCATATGAAAACGGTATACGTATATACGTGGTTTCTTTGGTACAAAAGTGCCAAACGACGGTTCTCCTTTTTTTAATATCGCGCTGTGCTTCGAAAAAAAAAATACGGTAATGTTCTCATCTTGCCCAGCGACATTCCCCTTGGGAACGTTACAGGATATTCTAAGCAGTTCGCCGCGAGAATTATTAGGATTCTCCATTTATTTTCTTTCCGCGCGGCCACCACGCCTTCCCGCTTTTCTTTCAACGAAATTTATTTCGCGCCCGACCAAAGCGTCATCCGATCGTTAACATCGCTTATATTCGTTTTCCTAAAGCTTTCCGCGAAAGCATTTCCGTTAGTCGTTCAACGATTAGATCAATGGGAGTCAATTTATTCATCCTTAAACTCGTGTTTCTTTCAGAAGATGCATCAATGTTTTTGGTTAAAAGTTCCCAATATGGCGACTCGTGATATCTTAAACTATTACGAATTCCTTCTTAAATGCATTTGATGTAAGAATTTATCGAACCGCGTAGAAGACGAGATTAAACATTCCACGAATGCGTTAATAGATACTAGAAGTATAATTAATTATGTGTTCAAGCAAACAATTTTCTTAATGAAACTAGAGCTTTTCTTGTACCGGTGTTCTCAATCACGCCAAGTGGTTTCAAGTGGATATTCTACTCTAGAACCTTAAAAAAAAAAATCGATTTTTTCCCTTTCATTTTCTGAAAACATGATTTTTAAGAACCTCTACCAAGATTATCGTAATTTCTAAAATATTGAATATTTTTGTACCGAAAAAAATTGTTGATATTTATCACTCAAACTTGATAAAAAAAAGTATTACACCGTAAATTCCCAAGTAGTAAAAAATTAGGTTCTAGAGTGGATTTCTCTCTTGAATGGTTCGAATGGGTATGTTTAGTTAAAAAGAAGTGGCAAGGCGAGAGATGGAGGGAGGAAAGGGCGACGAAGATTGTGGCCTAGGAAGAAGGCTGGCAGATTTGCGAGGCGGATGACAATCAGTGCAGGAAATGCAGTGACTGGCACGAGGTGGTGAAAGCCGAAGTGCAGCGGAAAGTGGGCCGGGGTTTCTGAACGATATGAAGAACACGTAAGAGTTTGGACGTCCCACGTTTGACATCCATATTAATGAGAGTACGTACGTATACCGCGTATCGACGAATGTACCGGGGGAGTCTGATCAAACTCGACCAGAGGAAACAGCAACATTCCCCATCTCTATTGATTACAATACAATATAATAAATAGAACTTGTGCACTTATTTTTTAACCCTTTGTTACTAACGCCTGGACTCAAAGGCAAATGTAAAATATTTCCTCAAATCATAATACGAAAGGAAGAAATATTTACAAGCTCGATCATGCATTTAACCCCCCAACTAGTATCATAGAGCACTTTGGTAGCTCAACGACTAAATTTCATTTCTACGCAACACTATATTGTAATATTCTGTGCAACAAACACCGTAGAATAAAGACATTTGGGCAAAGAAGATACTAATTACAGTAAATAAACGATACCAGTTAAAAATTTTACAAATATCAGGTTTCATTCGTTGTATTTTAAAGGAAGTTCGAAGATCCTGACGAGAATAATAAAAAAACATCTGACAAATGTACAGTTTGGTCTAAGAAAGTTAGTTCAAGAGACGAAGAAATATTTTGCTCGATGGAACAATGAAATTTCGATACACTTTATTCTTTTTTTTTGATTAATTATTCGAAATATTTATTTGACCAATTTCGCGTCTGGTTTTCAATCGAGATGCAAAGGTTGCGTTTGCCAGAATTCGTCGAGGGCAGGAATATTTCTGCGGACATAATTTTAAACGCAGGGTTAAGAGCATTCGCGGTGGCTAAACGCGTCAAGACAGTCGGTTCTACAAGAGGGTAGATGCTATTTCCGGTACTCCACGTGTGCGAGGGGCACAAGAAGAATGTGAAAATTCGAAAAAGTCACGCTCTACGCCTGCAGTCTGGCGTCCATTTTGTCACGGGACATCTACAATCCTGTCGTTTAAGCAAGCAAGGTACTTGTGCCCTGAACTTAATTGTTTAAGAGTTACAACACTTTGAAGTTTACCAAATTATTTTATTTAAAAATGGTGTAACTCTTCGACTATTAAATTTAGGGTATAAATACCTATATAAGGTACTTATGTCCTGAACTTATTAATTTAAGAGTTACAACACTTTGAAGTTTACCAAATTATTTTATTTAAAAATGGTGTAACTCTTCGACTATTAAATTTAGGGTATAAATACCTATATAAGGTACTTATGTCCTGAACTTATTAATTTAAGAGTTGCAACACTTTGAAGTTTACCAAATTATTTTATTCCAAAATGGTGTAACTCTTCGACTATTAAATTTAAGGCATAAGTACCTTGATACTCTTTTGTAGAGTAGAAGAAACTACATCTAGTATAATAAAGATTATAGAATTCCCCTCGTCGTAAAAGTGCAATTGTATTTTTTTAGAAGCGTCGATGATACAGCTGCATCCTTTTTGCAATTGAAATTCTCTAATTTTAATTACACCGTTCGATGCAGTTTTTGTAAGTTTCATAATAAAGTATTAAAGTACTAGCAAACCTAATGGTTTAACGGCGATACCACATTGGGGATTACTAAATTATATCAGTGGATTTCTGTTAATTCTCGTCGAGATACTAGAATGTGAATTGTAATTTCAGAATTTCTGAAATAGTAATTAGTTATAATGCTAGATAGTAACTCCTGAGTACGTAAAGCGTAGGTTCTGCAGAGAACAATACAAGTGCCAATGCGTTACCCGAGGCATAGTAAAATAAATTCTTGCAACACCTCCTAATAGAAAATGAAAAGATCGTATTAGAAAAATATACTTTCTGCTTTTTACATTTCCTATATCTTGATGTTCTCAAGTAATTTGCGAACATACAGGCACTTGACTAGTTCTTGGAGATCTCAGGAATGACACCTTTGGTTCTGCCTAGAATTTAAATGGTGGCCACGTACAGGCTTCTCTACAAATACAATTATTTCACGAATAAATCAGACTTTATTAATGAATATAAAATTAAGAATTATTTTTCTTCTTACCAAAAAATTAGATTCCGGGCACTTGAATTGTTTTCGACAAAAGCTAACTGTGTTTCCGTAAAAATGGTGCGATCTCGAAATCCACCGGCGTGCAAAGGTTTTGCACTCACCTCGTTCCACGCAGAACGCAGATCCAACCTTCTGGATCCTCTACGTCTTCGAAACGGTTCAGAAGCTTGAGAAATCGTAAACCGACGCGAGGCTCAAAACGGCAAATTTGCCGAGGAGCACCGCGCATTTGACGATCCACCGAGAAACGGTTGGTTCGCGCAAGCGCGTTTTAGCTGACGGTTGGCACTTACTGTTTGCTTGCGGCGAGGGCGGTGAATCGTCATAGTCCACGGGGCCAGCGTCGTCGACGGTGTCTTGCTCGTTGTTCGCTCGATTATCGTCAGTGGTCAGCGAGTCTTCGTCAATACGTTTTCGAATCTCCTCGTCCGTTCCATCGACGTTCAATTCACGAATTCGTTCGGGAACCACGTCCTGGGCCACTTTCAACGGCCCGAACATACCGAGAACTTTATCGTTATCGTTATCGTTATCGTTGTCGTTGTCCTCGTTATCCTCGTCATCGTCGTCGTCGTCGTCTTCTTGCAAATTATTCTCGGCGTCCGTTTGCCTTTTCACGTTCACTTCCATCTCGTCCGTACGAACGTTGTCAAGAATATTCGAATCTATGTCGGGTTGGTCCTCGTCGTGGCTCGAGTCGTCGTCTTTGTTAAATTCGTAGGACAGGTTCTTGACGGGCATCGTGGCTACCTCGTCGGCGGCGTCTACGTCTGTCTCCGGGCCCAGATCCGAGTAATCGTACTCCGCGCCGCCGTTCTCGTGTTTACCATTGCTGGCCGCCACGATACCCTCGTCCTCGTGGTCCCTAGGTTTCTGCGACAGTATCGCCTGCTTGAGGAAGCTCAAGTTGATCGCGACATCATCGTCGTCCATGTCCAGGAACAGCGGTTTGTCTTTGGAATTCATGTTCTCGAGTATATCATTCGTTTGCATGCACTGGAACGGATGGGCGTTTTGCGGCCTGGCTGCGATCTCGTTGGCTGGAGTTAACAGTGCCACGACCAAGGTGATGTTGTCCGTGGAGCCTTCGTGCTTCGCCCACTGCAGCACCCGCTTCAATCCGCCTGCAAAGATAACGAAACTTTACTACAACGTACACATTACCGTTACCATTATTCGTCGCGCAACAATATCGACTTGTTTAACCCTTTTGCTTATGCAAAGAATACCGAGGCCAATTTGACGAGTTTGTCATGGTTAGAGAAAAAGCTGATAAAAATCAAACTAAGAATGATATTTATAAAATTCAAAAAGCAGCATATTATGGGAAAAATTTTAATGGGAGATTCTAGAGGCCGAAATAGGACGAAAATCAAGGATATCAATTTCTTGATGGAGGCTTTGTTAAAAAGTTATTAACGTTTAAAGTGGAGCCAGTACTGAATTTTTTTTCTCGGAAACGCGCACGATTTCGAGGGTATGTCTGTTCACCAAAAATGATTGCGATTGACTCCCACAACCAAAAATAATTTTTCCAGAACGATTTGAAATTTTTCAATTTCGACGAAAAATTTGTCCACTTATTGAATTTTTTTCTCGAAAGTGGGTACGATTTCGAGGATATGTCTATTGACCAAAAATGATCGTAATTGACTCCAGAACCTAGAAATAATTTTTTTAGAACGATTCGAAATTTTTTTTTCGCCGTGAAATTTAGGCACCCCAAAATTCGTATTTGATTTTTAGTAACTTTGTTTCACGCCCTATAGAAAAGTTGTCTAATACTTTTTGTAGGTATCTATGGGCACTACTTCAGAAAAAAGTTTCATCGAAATATATTCGTTATTGTAGGAATTATGGCCGTTTGAAAATTGGACCATTTTTATGGAGTTTTTCTTACTTTACGAGGTTAAGGAGCAACTTTCCAAATATTTTTGGAGTTTCTATATATTCTACACCAAAATACGCGTTGTTTGCCGTTTGAAACATTAAAATCCTCCAATCCGTTCAAGAGTTATGACATTTCAAAGATTTGCATGAAATTTCGGGGGACCTCAGATTATATTTTCGGTAAGGAATTTTTTTCTCGAAAACGCGTAGGATTTCGGGGGTATGTGTAATGATAAAAAATGATTGTAATTGACCCCTGTAACTAAATATAATTTTTTTAAATGTGATTTTGAATATTTTAATTTCATCTAAAAAGTTCAGTACCTACTCGAATTTTTTTCTTGAAAATGCGTAGGATTTCGGGGGTATGTGTAATGATAAAAAATGATTGTAATTGACCCCTGTAACAAAATATAATTTTTTTCTACCCTCGCGTTATCTATTGCTTTTCCTTTGAACGACAGCCGTGAAAGCGGAGAAATCTATTTTCAGGAACACGGTGTACAGGAATCGTGGAGTGAGGAACAGGATGGAATGAAAAGCACTCTAATGGCGAGTGCAGGACGTGCCGCCACAGTACGTTGGGCATCATAAATTCAGCCGTCCTCGAGGCTGTTGCAGGTACTCTCCTCGATTATCCCTTTCACGATTTTAGCCCGTCAGACACACACGGGGAACGGCGATACGTCTGGAAGTATTTAGGCTACGGGGGAACAGGTCTTTTGCATATTACATTTACCCTCTCTCTATTACACGAAACGCGTTAAAGAACAATTTGACGGATTTCGTGAATCTAGCATTAATTTGTTTAACTCCAGAACTCCATTAAAAATTTGAGAACCACCCTGTACACGCAGAATCGCAAAAATCCATGGCGGCGTAAGCAAGTGCAACGACCTTATCCCTCTACATCTGCGTAGATTTTCTTCCCCCACCCCCCCATTCCTTCCGTTTCCCCCTCTAACTTCGCCTCGAACCCCCCAATTTCGAGCTTTCGTTTGCGCCGGTGACTTCGTTGCGATGGAAAGCACCCAATTCAACCGGCCTTTTCCCACAATAATTCTCCTTCGGTCTGTTTTTCTACCGTCGCGTCGGAGATCAACCCCTTACGCCCAGCCTTCGAGTCTAGACTATTCCTAGCGGGGGTTGTTTGCTCTTTTTCTCCGCCCAACCTGCGCCAAGTTATTCAGACTTTGAATACATATTGCTGGAAACTCTATCAACCAGTTAATAAAATCGTCATAACACGAAATTTTACACTTTTTTCCATGACGAGTATACTCGTCAGAAACAGTTAACCGGTTAAGAGGGTGTTCTCTTCTGGAGACTCATTAACGATTCTTGAGGGTTAATAATTATTGGTTTCTAATAAGTTAAGAAAGAACAATTTCTTCGAGAAAAGGGGGTTGTGAATTAAAAAGTTTAAAAACAAAAAAAAAAACTTGTGTATGCTAAAGATTGATGAACTTGAAAAAAAAAAAAATAATTCTTTCCTAACGTATTGGATACTATCTTGATAATATTTAACCCCTTACCAATGAGTCTGACTCGTTCCAAGTATTTATGCTAGATTTCACAAAACGAGGCTACATTTAATGCTTGCGAACATTGCGTGGATCGGTAAATTTAAACAAAATTAAACAGTACGCGTTGAAAACATTGTGATTGGATCGTGGGTCGGGAGGTTAAATTGCATATAAAAATCTTGTTTATGTCGCAATAATTGGCGGAGTTAGACACCCTGTGCATAAAGAAAACGCGTTTGTGTCTGTTCGTTAACGCGTGACAAGAAAATGGGTGGAGCGAATGCGACGAAACTTGGAACTTATTTATAGGGTGGCCCGACTTAACCTTTTGCGGTCCAGCTTACCTCCCAGGCATCAGCCAATGTCTGACGCGGTCCGATCGTGTCTGGGAGGTAAATTGAAGTTTAGACTAACCTTATTTATAGACTCTTGTTTTTTAAGACCAAAACTCTTGTTGACGATCAATGAAAGAAATTTATAGTACCAAAGTATTCAACAAAATCAGTACTTTCAGAGTGGAAAAAGATATCTACAGAATTTACTGTAGAACTTGTTCAGAAAAGCAAGATCTTCGGAGCTTAGAAAATACGAGTCATATTATGAATTATACTTTTATTTCTATAACACGTAAGGATCATAATTACATATATACAGGGTGTTTGGCCACTCTTGGTATTCTAGAGACCAAAATACGACGAAAATCAAGAATACCAATTTGTTGATGGAGGCTTCGTTAAAAAGTTATTAACAATAAAATTCAAAAGTTTCAAATCGTTCTGGAAAAATTATTTTCGGCTGTGGGGGGCAATTACAATCATTTTTGGTAAATACGCATACCCCCGAAATCCTACCCACTTTTGAGAAAAAAATTCGAGAAGGTGTGAAATTTTTCGACGGAAAAAAATTTTTCAAATCGTTCTAGAAAAATTATTTTCGGTTGCGGGGGTCAATAACAATTATTATTGGTGAATAGACATATCCCTGAAATCCTACCCACTTTCGAGAAAAAAATTCGAGTAGCCTAAATTATTCGGCGAAAAACAAAATTTCAAAATCGTTCTAAAAAAATTATTTTCAGTTGGGGTCCAATTGCAATAATTTTTGGTGAATAGACATACCCCCGAAATCCTACCCATTTTTGAGAAAAAAATTCGAGTAGCCCAAATTTTTCGGCGAAAAAAAAAATTTCAAATCATACTAAAAAAATTATATTTAGTTACAGGGGTCAATTACAATAATTTTTGGTGAATAGACCTACCCCCGAAATCCTACCCACTTTCTAGAAAAAAATTCTAGAAGGTGTGAAACTTTAAACATTAATAACTGTTTAACGAAGCCACTATCAACAAATTAGTATTCTTGATTTTCGTCTTGTTTTGACCTCTAGAGTCTCCCATTAAAATTTTTCCCAGTGTTGTCCTAACACCCTGTATAACTGATTTTATCGAAGAATTGGTATGTTCATAGACACAAGTTTTATACGCAATTCAGTGCAATTGCATTTGAACATTGGCGGCGTAATCGGTGCAAATACTCAATTGTCGTGCGTTGGATCGAAAGAGACCCGAAAACCATTTCAAAACAAGTTATTGATTGGGCAAAATCCATCCGGTCCGACGGGTGTTGCAACCATCTGCCACGCACTTTTCGCAGACGCCTGATCGATAATAGTTTATTCACCACCACCCACGAATTTCCACGAACGCGGCAGGTGTGCGAGGTACAATGAATCAGACACAGGCAGATCACATTCGAAACAGAAATAACTATTCCAAAAAACATTTCAGTGTTTTAGAAGTCTACTATATTATTTGGAAATAATCGAAATATCAATTTACTTGAAACAGTTAAATATTTAGTAGTAGAAACATGCCTATCTAAAAATTCAAATATGAAGTCGACTAGCTTCTGTTTGATCGTTAGTCATAGAGTATGCTAGAAATGTTTATATATTACACGGCCTGTGTAACTGTGATTCATACAAACCATTACCGCATCGTATATTTTAAGCTCTAAATACGCACGACGGGACGATGAGTGTGCAAAATACCGATAAAATACATCTACGATACTAATTGCTTTCTTTTTTTTCTTTATCATCAACGTTCCATCATTTCAATGGCGCCAAGTGAGTCGTAATCCCGTCGAAACATTTCGTGAGATTATAATTCCGGAATACGTCGTGGAATTTCTAATTTTCGTCTTATTTTGGCGCCCCTGAAAATGTTTCGTTCGCGGGCAAATAATTAATTAGGAAGGCTGCCGTATTAATTTTGGAATTTATTCGCGCGAATCTCGCGAAACACGGCTCTTCTCGTCGTTTGTCGTTGTTTTTCTGCACTCGGGACTTTCCCAACGATGTTTCGCGAGGGGTCTCGCGTAAAAATGGCGCGGAATAAAGGGAACTACATGGCGTTAACACAGCCGTTTATTGTCCGACCGCTGTCGTAGTATCGTAGCGCGCGTGTAACCCAATATTTCCGTGTAATTTAAACTCTCCTCGTCTGCGAAGTGCGTTGCACGATGAAGTGGCGATTCCACACCGTGATGTTAGCACGTCCTCTCAATTGCACCAGGTTTTTTTACTCCCCCGGGGTCCGTGTCGCTTGAGAATATAGAACACAAACGTTTATGCCTTCGAACTCTCACCGTTTCCAGGTGAAACGTTTATTCATTTCATCGACCTTCTTCGCGCCACTCGTGCACAC